CATTCACCTCTAAGCAGCTGGGACTCCAGCATCAGATGCCCAGAAGTCACATTTGCATCAAGGCAAAATAGAGAGGCAGTGGTTTGAATGTTGGACTAGGTCTCTTGAAGAACCAGGTTCAAGTTCCGGCTTAGCCATGGAAGCCTAATGGGTGACACTGGGTGAGTCAAGGCTGATGCATTACGGTCAGTCCTCCGTATCCAAAGATTCTGCATCCACGGATTGCGCCATCAATAGCTTGAAAATGGTTGTTTTTTTAAAACATCCAAAAAGGAAAGCTTGGTTTTGCCACTTAATATATATAAGGGGCACCATTTTACTACACTATTTTATATAATGGGACTTGAGCACCCGTGGATTTTAGTATCCATAGGGGTGGTGGTCCTAGACCCAAATCCCAGTGGATAGCAAAGCCCCACTGTACTTTGCAAATGAAGGAAAAGCTGCATCAGAGAGCAGCCTGCTGCATATGAACCTGGAAGACAAAGCAACGCAGGATTAGACCTGAGCGTCAGATACGATCAAGACAGAGCTAACAACTGACCTCATTTGCCAAAGCTGGAAGGAGGAAGAGGGAGGGCGAACGTCCATCCCAACAAGTAAGCCCATCTTGGACATTGAGGACGCTCCACACTCTGGACGTCCGGCCGCATCAATGCTTTCTGGCTTGCAAGAGCCACTCAGCTCAGCGCATCCATTACAACTGCAACAGCAAAGCATGACATTTGGCCCTAGACAGAGCCAGCCTTTGGGGACAGGATTTAATAAGCATCTCTTTTCAGCTTTCAAGGTTTTAACACTTCGATATTGTTAGGCTGAGACTAAAACCCCTTCGTATCAACAGGAACTTCTTAGGCACACACTGAAGACTGAGTCCTCCTTATCTGGAATTGCAACATCTGCATTATTCCAATATCCACAATTGTCAGCATAAGGGGCTGAGAGAGTGACACCTTTGCTTTCTGGTGCTTCAGTGTACACAAACTTTGTTCCACGCACAAAATTATTAAAAATATTGTGTATAAAATTACCTTCCATCTATATATATAAGGTATATAAATATATATATAACCCCCTAACGCTAACCCTATATGAAACATAAATGAATTTAATGACCTGGGTCCCATCTCCAAGACGTCTCATTATGTAAACGCAAATATTCCAACGTTTGAAAAACTCCAAAACACCTCTGATCCCAAGCATTTTGGAGGAGGGAAAGTCGGTCTGCACCAGCTTGCTTGCTGTTTATTATTTAAACATTTAATCATAGCTTTCTTCTGATAAGGGACCGAAAATGGCTTATTATAACATAGATTAAAACAAAGTAAATCAAAATAGAAAGAATACAGCAAATGTATATCAAAGAAAGCAAAGAAGATAAATGTTCATGTTTGTGTGTGCATCTGCTGACGACTTAGAACAACCCTATGAATCTCATAGGGTTTTCTCTGCTGTAATTTGCATCAAGACAACTTTGACTTATGGCAATCCTATGGATGAGAGCCCTCCTTGTCATCTTATTCTCCACAGCCCTGCTTAGGTCTTGCAAATCATAGAATCATGGAGTTGGAAGAGACCCCAAGGGCCATCCAGTCCAACCCCATTCTGCCATGCAGGAACTCCCAATCAAAGCATCTACAATACAACACTATATTCAGAAGTCCACAGACCTAGTGTTAACTCAAAAAATAAAATCACAGACTTGGAAGGGGTCCCCAGAGGCCATCTATGCCAACCCTCTGCTCAGTTCAGGGTCTCCAGCTACAGCATCCCCAGCAACAGGGGACTTTCCATCCTCTTTTTGAAGACATCCAGAGAAGAAGACCCCTGAGTCGCTCCCATTGTCAAGAAGCTGCAAGCCCATAAGCCTTTTTTCTAGAGGGAATCAATCCATTTGTAGTGCATCTTTCCCTTTGGCTTAGCTTCCAAGGCCAGACAGGATCTGGTGTCTTCAGGGTATTTAGACTGCTAAAGGTATACAGTATAGAGAGAATATTGAATCATAGAATCATAGAGCTGGAAGAGACCCCAAGGGCCATCCAGTCCAACCCCCTGCCATGCAGGAACTCCCAATCAAAGCATCCCCGACAGATGGCCATCCAGCCTCTGGATGTGAACACTTTGGACAAAAAAAAATGCGTATAAAAAGCAAATAATGAAAATTGCCCCTGTCAAAAGAAAGCACTATATGGTGAGTATTATTATTATTATTATTATTATTATTATTTGAGTACAGTGGGTCCTTGTTATCTGTTCCAGCAGGACCCCCCCCCCAAGGATACCAAAACCCATGGATGCTCAAGTCCCTTTATATAAAACGGCAGAATAGTTTGCTTTTGGGAATTTATATATATTTTAAAAGTCTTTTCAAGCTGTGGATGGTTGAATCCAATACAGAGGGATACAGAGGGCTGAAATGAAGGGGGAGGAAAGCCTTCCCACATTTTCATAGAATCATAGAATTATAGAGTTGGAAGAGACC